TAGAGCTTGCATTTTGTTGATAGAAAGTTGACTTCTATTATATAGCCTTCTATTTTTTCAATAAATTCTTAATCTTTTCTTGATATTTCTATTAATAAGAAGTTTTACTTCAGATTCTCTAGATTTCTTATTATTGCTATTATAAAAAAACTTGTGTATTTGTTATAAGGTAAAAGCAAATTCTGCTATTTTATTTATTAGCTTGATTTTATAGATATCTAGAATATCTATATTGAGTTTTTATATAATTTTATAACCTTTGTTGATCCAGCTAGTATTAATTCCTCTAATATTATATGTTTCAATTGAGATGATATCAGTTAATATAGAGTTATCTATAGTATACTTTTTATATAATATATACTTTTGTTCAATTCTATAAATAACATTCTTTTTGATTGTATTAATAAAGTCATAAAGTGATGTATTATGTATTATATAGAAAAGGGTTATATTAATGACTACTGTTTTCTTTGGGGTTGCACCTTTTTTTTAAAATGAGTTTGTTCTTCTTGTGAATTGAACTCTTTCCTGATATACTTTGATTAAACTGATATTAATATCAGGAGGGATTGTTCTATCACCTTCCTCTTATCTTGTTTTGATTATCTATTTTCTTCTTGATTAGATTTAGTTTATTATTTAATTGTTTGAGATTATTCAGGATCTGATAAAGAGAGTCTTGATCACTTTTACTTTCAGGATATGAACTTTTAGATCTATTATACAAATTTCTTCTTCTATTGTAATAATTGAGTGGCTTCCTATTACTACTAGTAGCAAAGTATTTGGAAGTCTTATTTGTTCTAGTGATATTTTTGTTACCTTGAGAGTTGTATTTTTTTTTTTCTCTCTTCTTTCTAAATCTGTTCTTTTTTTAAAGTCACTTTCTGTTTCTGAGTCTTTTTTAGATATTGTATATCAACTTGCCTTAATATTGCTTTTATTATTAGTTTAACCCAATTGTTTTGAGTGCAGTTTGACCTGTGTTGTTTCAAAATAGACTTTTTCTTTATTATTACTACTGTTTTAAATTTGAATCACTTCATTGTCTTGTATTGTTTTTTTTCCAAAGTATTTTCTAGCATTTCAGCTAAGTTTATAATCATGTATAAATATAAGTTATCTCAAAGCCTTGTGCAAATCTTCTGCTATTGTAAAACAAACTACTATATATTCTCTTATTTTTAGAGTAAATGGATTTTTTGATATATATATGTTTTGGCTCTTATATATTATATTGCTCTTGTTATAAGACTTATGAAGATATTGTGTATATTATATAATCATAGAAACTGACTATTATGATTTTTGAAAATAGTATCAACTTCATAATTGTCTAGTTCATGTTGAGTAAAAATTATCCTAAAAGTATTTGTATTGACATAAATAAACTATCTATTATTCAAGTCTTATTGATTTGAAATAAGTCATGTCTTGATTCTTCATTGAGAATAAAGTAGTTATAAATATGAATACTTAAAACCTTTTTATATTTCTGTAGAACAGCCTTAATTTCTTGATAAGTATGGTTGTGATCAAGATTGATAAGCATAATAACTATTGTCTTGTTTTCTTCTTTTGTTACCTCTTGTTTAAAGAACTTTTTTTTTGATGGTGAGTATAAGATTTTTTATTTTTCTGCTTATATAGGAATCAAGGTAAAGTTTTTTTCTTCTTTCTTATTGATCTTCTTTATACATTATAAGGTATTTTCAACTTCTTCAAAGGTAAAAGTTGTTTAGGTATTACTATTGAGAAAATCTTTTCTAAATAGTAGCATATTTTTGGGTAAACTTAGGATTCCTTGGAAATAGATTATTCATTCTTTTTTTGTATCTTCCAATATTCTGGAGATAAGAATTCCAACCTTGAATTCTACTTTTTTAGTAATATAAAATGAATTAAGACTAGATGGCTTGAACTTATTTCATATATTGTAGAAGATTTGTTCTATTATTTTTTTTCCTTCAACTCTTTCTTGGATATTTTCTATTTCAAGTTCTTTTTCAAGCTCTTTCTCCAATTTTTTATCATTCATTTTAATTTTGATAATATTTGAAATTTCAATCTCAATTGTTGTTTGAACTTCCATATTTTTATTTAAAGAAGTATTCTCATCTAAGATTGAATTTCCTATTATAAAGTTTGTAAACTTACCCTAAATCTAGGAAGTTTCAGAAATATAGAGGGAAAAACTATTTGTAGTGGTATCTTGTTTCAAGATGCATTTGACTTTTTTTTTCAAGAAAAGTGACATAAGATCTTTTTTTCTTTCTTGACCTTGTATCTATAGATATTAGATATATATATATTTTTTTTAAAGAATAACAAAGCTCAATTTTATACATTGATATATTACACACATGTATAGGGAATTCCAGCTATATAAGATATGTACTGGTTTTATATATCTTTGGAAATATTTATACAGACATGATATCTTTATAGTATATCAACATGAACTTATTTTCAGGTAAACCTATCAATGTGACTTGTTATCAGAAGAAGGCCTATTATTCAACTATTTATATCTATATTACCCTTCAGTAACCTTTATATATAATGTTCTATAGATCTTCGGACTATAACATAGTATATCTTTCATATCTCGTTCCACTGGATGTTCTTTTTATAGTACTTATTACAGTATACCTACAGAATATCTATATAGAGTCTTAAATATTATCTCATTCTATTAGTGATCCTTTTTACATGACTTATTATAGCCTATCTGTGGGATGACCACATAGAGTCTTGAATAGATATTAATTTTTAATAGAGACTTTCTTCTTACTAATATGCCTAAGCTCCACTAGTTCCTTCTTTTTTATAGCATGCAGATCTTTAGTCTATCTTCAGAAGCTTGTTAGGACCTACCTTTATAACAAGGTGACTTCAGCACTAAAACTGATCAAAGTATTTTATAATCTTTGATTATTTTATAATCGGACAGAATCTTGATCACAAGTGGTTGCAATTATTATTATGAGATAAATGGAATTTTCCTGTATTACCTAAGATTAGGTGATACTACCTTGCAGTGATATTGAACTTGAAAACAGTACTTGATGACCTGGGAGTACTACCACTGTGCTATTGATCCACAGGTCAGTATTAGATATATTGTTTGAGGACTTCAACTTTAATAAATATAATTAAATCTATATTTAAGATTTTTGTTAAGATACTATCAAGTATCGAATATTTTATTAATTCTGATATCTGATTGAACTTGTCTTGTATAATTAAAATGTTGAAAATAAATTAAATAGTCTATGTTTCTTTTCTTTAGTCATGCTTTTTAACTATTTTGACTATTGTATCAAGAATATAAAGCTCTCTATTTTTTGAAATTTACATAATTTTTCATTTCTTTATCATATTGGTCATGTATAAAGAAGAATAAATTATTAATTTATTGTTTTGTTTATCTTTTTTATTTGTTTATATTTAGTAAAATTTGTGTGATTAATTGTTTATTGTTTTGTTTAGATTTTTGTTTACTTGAATAAGTTGTTAATTCTTTCTATTTGAATTTATTTATTTATTGATCTTTCTATTTGAATTTATTTATTTATTGAAATGGTTATTAATCCTCTTGTTTGTAAAGAATAAGTCATTTGTTTATAGATTCTTGATAAACCTTATTATGTTGTTTTGATACTGTACTATTTGATGTATATAAATTGTATAACTTGTTTTATTGTTTAAACAGGTGTATATAGAATCAGAATACTCTCCTATTTAGTCCTTGAAAGTCTTTAATGTCCTTTTGGGCTTTATAAACTTTGAGTTTTTTCTAATTTATTAATGAGAACTACTGTTGATAAAGTTTTTTTTAATACTTAGAAAGGTATAAACTGGATAAAAGCTTGAAAAGTTGATATTGGATTCTCTTATGCTTACTGTGAATTAACTTATAAATGTGTTTTTCTTTCTTTATAAAATAAAGTAAAGTAGAGCTAAAATAATGCTATGTTACTTATACTTATTTTGATTGATAAAGTGATTTTTGAGAAAGTGGCTAAATGTTGTGGTTTGTTATTAAGTCTCAGATCTTTAAAGGATAAAGTGTGTAAGGTTAGCTTCTCTCTTCCAAGAAATTTATCAAAAAAAGAAAATTTTTAAGGAAAAAGGGGATCAACAGAAAGAGTTTTTTTTTTTAAAGTTAATCTGCTTTATTTATAGAATGTTAGTAAAATCTTGTTATATTGTTTTGATTATTGTTGTAAACTGATATATTTGTGTTTATATAACTTGTTTTGATATTTAGATTATAATGCTTGAACAATCAAGATACTTTATTATTTAGTTTTTAGCAATCTTTGATATTCTTTTGGACTTTATAAACTTTAAGTTTTTCTTGATTTATTAATAAAAACTATAACTTATAGAGTTTTTTTTAATGTTTAAAAAGATGTATACTGATATTGGCCTGACTAAAAGTTTGAGAAATTGATATTGAGCTTTTCTAAGTTTATTATGAATCAACTTATAAATGTATATTTTTTTTTTCTTGTAAAAATAAAGTCGAAAAAAATAAAATATAGTTTTTAGACTTTTGCTCAACATATGAGTTCCTTTGGATGTGATTAAATATTGTGTTGTTTGTTTTTTAGTTATTAGCTTGGAATAGTATAATGTTTTTACATTTAAGCTTAAATGAATATAGTATATAGACAATACTGTAAGTAAAACAATGATATTTAAGAATAAATTCATTTAGGTTATTGAATTTATAACACATCAATTCTATATATTGTACTACACGTAATAATAATAATAGTCATTTGTTTTTTTTTGCACAAAAAAAAAATGATTAACTTCTTTAATTATTTTTGACACGATTACAGTAAAATCCTTCCGAAGGAATAAAAATGATTAATCTATCAGTTCAAAATTTGGGTTTCGAAACCTCATTTACGGTTGCAATGGATTAAAGAAAGACCGAATTGATTCTATGTTCTATGTTAATACAACGCTTGACCACCCAGGGATTATTTGATTGTCGATTGATTTTGTTCGTCCAGCGTTTTAACTAACTTCAACATTGACTCAATCTCCCTCGACGTGGCATTCCCGTGAGCAGACCATCTTAATTTACAACTAGAATCGACCAAAAAGACGTAGCCTCTACACGAATTATTCATGTCGAGAGCTTCGCGCAGACTAGGGTCATCGTGGAATAGGAGGATGTAATTATTCTAGAAATTTGTGTACAACGTAGATTAAAATAATGCCACAAGACGGGACATATAACCAGGAAAAACGAAACGTACGTGAAGAGACGCGGGAATTGTTCTCTTGAGATATGGAGTTAAGAGTCTAAGAATAAGGGACTTCGCGAAGTTCACTTCAATGTTAACCTATTCTTGATAAATGCGAGGGGTTAGAAAATAGTTTGGAGTTATCTAACATGCACAGGACTCCAAATAAAACCTTCATGAGCTGTATCCTGTTGTGATCCGAGAATTCGTCGAGAAATGGTCTTGTGAAAGTTTGCGTATGATTCTGAAAGAAGACTTTCACACATTAGGCATTGTTAACACAATGAAATCAGATTAATACGGGCTGAGTGTTGCTCACATCGCCAAACTGATTAAAGTATATGGCAACCAAAGAAGTGTGACCCTCCAGCAAGTCTGTCGTGTTAACCGCCGACTTGGATAACGAATGAGATTCAATGTTTGGCATGTATAATGCCTCCTATGCATAGCAGAAGAATTATCAGGAATGCAAATTTAATATTAGAGGTTACATATTTAAAAGGTTACCTCGGCACTAACTAACTTCGGTTCAGCTTCCCATAATTTTTCCCCTTCCGTTCTTAATTCGTTAAAGTCCTTCCAGTATGATGTCTTATATTCCTTTAATCTAAAATTAAAGAGAATTGGATCGCAAACGTCAAAACCACTTCCTTTTTGAAATTCTTAGTAAAGTTCACGTAGCGTGCGCGCAATTCATACAATTTTTCACGATTTTCGCGATTTTTTTCGGCGCTAAACACATTTTTGAATCTTTGACTCCAGTCGAGTCGCTCTGAAGGTGTTCTTGACCATGGCGAGTTGGCGATACCAAAAATTCGAGGTCTCGATTTCTTGACTCTTGGTTCCGAATTTTGCACTAATTCATTTGAAAGTTCCTTTGAAACAATTTCATTATTTCGATTTGCACCGGTCAATTGCTTTTGCAGGGGAGCGAATTTTGTAATATATCTTTTAGGAATTGAGCGAATTTTCAAGAGTCGAGCATGCATCTTCAGCTCGTGCACGGTTATAATAGATTATCGATTGCTTTATCGATAAGGGTGACACCGAAATTGTGTTACAAACTGTTTCAGAAAGTGTTTATGCGAGACCCATTCACGTTTCAACATCACGCCTGCTTTGGACCGCAACTGCAATGGTTGGATTCACTTTTTTTATTGATGGAATTCCTTAGATTACTAAAGAATTGACATTAAATTAACACATTCTCCTTTCAATCATTACGATGTACCTCGCTAGTCGAACACATTACGCCCATACTTGGCCGCCGTCAGATCCACCTTGACAGCTGCGCTCTGCTTAGAGAATTTTTCCTCGCAAGTTGTGGAGCGCCACAACAAGCCGGAGGTTGAAGCAAGGTGACATATTTTTGTTTTACATAATTATGCGGATGACTATTTCGTCTTCTTTCCAATTCAACCATTCATATAAACGAGACTGTTTTTTTAGGTCATCACCAGAGGTCGTTCCGAATGCTCTCACCATCAGCAGGAATGAGAACGAAAAAGTCTTGATAGAGCCGTCGGTCAACTCGATTCGAATTAGTATCAAGATCAAACAGGCTGACGAGATTGAAAGAATCTTATGTCATAAATTCACTAGGTTCATGATGCTCAGAGCCGAGAATTTCATTATCCTCCGAAGAAAACCTATTGCGGTAAATCATCATAGAAAGAAACCTCTTACACTCGTTTTGTTCAATGCATGCAAATGTTATGTTAAATTGTCTTCTTTATGTGATGTTCAGGGATACGATATTAGTTTTTTGATTACCAATTCCCACACCGAACAAATGTACAAACACAAATTGGTGGATTTTATCATTCAGTTTATGGAGGAGGTGGACAAAGAAATTAGTGAAATGAAATTGAGTCTAAATGCTCGCGCTCGAATTGTTGCCGAGTCCTATCTTTCACAGGTGGGTCGATGGTTTCTACAATTCTATATTTTTGTTGTTAAAATATCTAATAGTAATATTCCTCTCCACACTTTAGTTTTCTTAATATCTAGGCCATTCAAAGTTATTTCGCTCTTTTTATCTTCGTGCGCGGCGCCTTTGAACCACTGGCCAGTCTTCCGCGAATACTGCTGATTATCTTGTCATTCAATTTCATGGACACCCAAAAAATCCTCAGTTTGTATGGTACCCATGACGAGAAACGAGCACCCTCATTTTTTCTCGGCATGGGAAGTGCGCTGTTAGCCATAATTATATACTAAAGGAAATATTGTAGTTAGAAAATGTTTGAATTTTAAGCAAAAGAATAATAATATATATATATAATAGAAGATTGAAGTGATTTGTTACTTACAAGTGGGAAAAGGAGAGCAAACACTCCTGCACTCAAAAATTGATCAACGAAGAAAGTTATTACAGTGAATGTGAAACCTGCCGAGTGAGATTTAACGTTAAGCACCATGCGAATGTGTTCGACACTTCCAAAAAAAGCATGAGATAATTGATAGATCCTACCAAATCCAGCAAAGTAAGACCATCTTTCTTCAAAATAATCTATGCGTTGTTCCAACGTCCACCCTTTATTAATCCACTTGTACCTATCAAATTTTTGTATAGCCATTGTATGAGATGCGAATTGAAAACCCCAAGATTCAATTGCACCAAAAAAGAAAGAAAGAAAGAAAGAAAAAGAAATCCTGAACGTACTCGAAGCTATAGTAGGCGTATATCCAACAGAAATACATGAAAGACATCAATGGACCAAATAAAGGAACAACGTGGATCAATGTGGCTACCGTCAGGTAATTAGTGAATAGTATGGCTCGGTAAATTTCGTTGGCTAATAGACTGGGTTGATGCGAAATAATGATCAAATGTGTTAAAATGGAAACCCCCATCGATCCATCGTCCAAGAAGATCTTCCGCTAACCTGGGATATGTTGGCTTCGGTTCTATAGGTTGACCATGTTGTATTCGGTAAGCGCGATCAGCTATTTCTTGGTACCATATGGCATTCAATGCGAAGCTGAGAAGAAATATTGGGTATACCCAGCACAACTGAAAAATTGAAATTCGTGTTTTATAAATTCCATCGAAAAAAAGGAGTGTAAAGAAAAAAAGAACCAATTTTTTTCTCAGTACTTGATACATCAAAGCCGCAGTCTTATCCAAAAAATTGGTAATGAAGGAGGAATGTTCATTACTTCCGTGAATCGTTGTGAATATTGATGTACCCAGAATGAAATGCAGTATTGGTAGGGTAACATTGTTGAAGAAGAATATACTTCCTAAGAAAAGTACACCGTTTAGGGTGAAGCATTTTAAAGTACGTTTACGAATCGTGTTGGATCTTTAAATTTTTTTTTTTCACCCGCACACAAAAAAGAAATTAATCTACGATCAAATGTCAATACGGAGAAAACACAACATCTTTACCCGTAGATTATGATCAAACTTGAGGGCCATGCAAAGGAATCTCTGAAGCCACACAAAAAGTGACTAAAACACAACTTCAGAGTTTCTATGAAATTAAGTTTGGTGACTATTCTAACGTTGGTTGAAGCCATTCCAGTATTATTTACATCTGCAAAAAAAAAAAAGAAACGTTTAAATCTATTACCGTTTATTTATATACCGTAATAAATATTAGCTAAGAGTACAGTTTTTTTCAAACTGAACGATCCTTGATCATCCCGGTCATATGGACAAAAACCCGTAGCCGAACCGCAGTCACTGCACCATTTTGGGGGGGTTGTGATTATCCGGTCTTTTGACCAATGAAACAAAGCTACTTTTTCCACAACTGTTATTTAATGGTCCCCAAAATAGTTTCCAAAAATGGTTGTCTTCCCCATTTACAACCTTTCTATTTGGAATTTAAAGATCGATTTTTGATTTTTGAAATATCGGTCTTTACAAATCCTGCGGACCGATTGTCACCCCTTTGACCGCAGCTATACTATCAGGCGCAACGATCACATTCACACGTCTATCGGATAAAGATGAATATTCTACCGCACAAAAGGTGGACATTTTTCTATTATTCCGTTAATCCGTTGGTCAACATAATTTACCGAGTCTTCATAATTCAGTTACCATGTGTATAACCTTAAAAACAAAGAACGCGTTCGTAAAGACGAGGAAAAAGCGAGCCAGGAGGAAGCTGCAAAAAATCAAAGAAAGGAAATTGCGGTAATCCTTCTCATTGCCGTTTCTTCGCGTAGATCCGAAATTGGATTAGTTCTCTAACCCGTGATCCTTTAGGAACGCGAACGAAGATTGAAATTACTCCGTGAGAAAGCGGGCGCAAAACAACGTCAATTGGCACAGAATGGATCAAAGGAAATAGCAGCTGAAACAATGACAAATGATCAGGTCATGGCAATCCAAAATGGTTCTGAGGGTCATATCAATTTTTGGAGGGATATGGAAAAGGTAATATATATTATCCCAAATTCACCTTCCAAGCCATTTAAGTGAAGAAAAAAAAAAAAAAAAATCTATTTTAATTAAAAGGAATTTGCAACTAATAAAGAGTATGAGGCCGAAAAAAGGACAAAGGAACAGAAGATGGAAAGGCAACTTGCGATGCATTTTGACGAAGTGTTGAAGGGTAGGTCTGTTTCCTTTTTTACGACGATGGTGTACCATTTATTCACAATCCTCAATTAAAATGCAGATCCAAAGCCATGGTATCTTAGCACTCGTAATCACGAAGAAAAATATTCGATAGACGGAACCATTAAAAAGTAAATCTTTGTCACTGGTTTTTTTTTTTTCTCGCACATCTTTTTTTGTAAGTAATACTGATTTTTTTCTTTAGGAAAAAAAATATTGGAACCAAATCTATTGATGATCCACTGCTTGTAATTGAAAAAGGCTTGGACAAAAAGTTGAAGAAAAAGAGTGATATCATCACAAACCCTAAACCGAAGGTGAAATTTTGTTTATATCAAATATACATCAGAATTTCGTTGAACCTGCTATTAATTGATCCGATGAGTGCTTTAGGATGAGAGAGAAAGGAATTTGTCATCGAATGCCTCGTCAACGATTGATGAACTACGTGCTCAACGAATCGCAAGAGAACGTGAGGAACGAATACGCACTCTTAAACTTCTTAATCCTCATATGGAAACAAGTCGGCCGAAAAGTCGTTATAACTCTCAATTCAATCCAGAAGCTACTGAGGCGGCTCATAATATATTCAGGCGACGAAGTAGAGGTTATGATGGATCTGATTATTCTCGTTCACGGAGGCACAAACCCTATTGATTCTGTACCACATTTATATAATAACATGGATTTGACATTGTATTATAATTTATGCAACTCGGGATACGATTATTTCCTATACTTTATTACCATATCGAGAACTTGAGATAAGCTGACATTATCGTAACATGATATATTTATTTTATCACGACCATTAGGGTGCACGTTATTTCTATAAGATATTTTCTCGGCATAGCAACAGTCTTTCAAAAATAGATTCATCGTGGAAAGGCTACACCACCTTGCCAAAAGTATTTACGAGTGTGATACGATGCATTTTAATCGTTATTCTTTATCAATAATAATTTGTACTTGTAATAATTATTATATGAAAGAAATTGGCGATTAATAAAGGAATGCAAGCAAGGCAATATACAGTATATTGTTATAAACAATTATGCTATTACAATATATTTTTTTCATTATAAGAACGTATCTTCAGAGGAAAAATATCCACTTGATTTTATATTCGGAAAGTAAGAAAGGTTTTGTTTTGTTAAAATATTTCAGAATATATTTATTAATGGTTTTTTCTCAATTATTAAATTGTATTGTAATAAAGTTTTTATATTGAAAAACCATAAAAACAAAAGCATTCTTAGATTTTAAAAAAATGACAAAAGAGTAAATATAATTTCCAATTCTTGGTCTCATATTACTAATAAAACTCTATAATATTTCTTTACTAAATAGTTATAAACAATCAATTCATTCTATAGACTCAAAGAATTTTTTTCTTTTTCTTTTTCTAAAAAAGTTTTATTAGAAACAATTTTTATGAAAAAAAGCAAGCAATAAAAAATTAAAGTTCTCGTATATTTAAATAACATATTGAATATCTTTAAAGAGATAATCTTTTCTTGTAATGTTTTGTTTAAATATTTTGATTCTTTAAAACAATTTTTTAAAATAGTTGAACCTAAATATAAAAAAAAACTTTTTATTAAATAAATAAATTAAGTTTCTTTTATTTGCCTTAACAACTTTAAGATAATATAATTAATTGTTTTTTAATTCTTTATCAAATTAACTATCTATATTTTATTTAACTTTTGTAAACTATTTATATTTAAAATTTAAGTAATATTTAAATTATTCTTGCTTTAAAAATTGATGTTTTATCATATTATTACTCAAATAATTATTTTTTAATCATTAATTTCATTGCTTATAAATTAATATTATAGATCTTTTATTTATTTTTAATTAAAGATATTTTGAAAAAAACTCTTTCCGTTGATCCTCTGATCACATACAAAAAAGATGTTTGCAAGAAGTTTTATACTTCTTTGCTAATAAAGTCTTTACACTTTC